CTTGGAGCCCAGGAACCAGCTTATCAAACAGCCCTTCACCCTTGTCCATCTCCAGGATGTCCTACAGGGTGAGGTCTCTCTTATCATATTGGTATCCAAAGAAACGTCTCCTCTTCTTCACCAGATAGAAGCAGTGGAATCTGTCAGCATCAATGAGGCTTCTGACAGCAATCATATCCCCACCAGCGTCCATGTGTTGGACCACAGCTCTTGCGATTTTCTCAAATACCGCGAGCATGGTGCCTGGACCAACTGGGAAAAGGAAGCCCATTGCAGTTTGGGGGAGGGAAATATTGGTTCAGGTTTTTAAATCTTCTACCTTTGGCAGCTTGGGGTCAAGAAAGATCCAAAAGTTCTAGGCCAACCAGAACGGTTTGCCTTCCCCGTTTCCAGAAGGTGTGGTGGTCACTACACACTAAGGTGGGATGGCCATCACAAATGCTGGATTCTCCTCTGCCCCTTGTGGAACCTTTCTGGAGGGAAGCTGGAGTGGTGATTGCCCAGAAGGAAAGCGAGATCTGTTTTCTGCATCTCCCACAGCAGAGTTGCCCTTGCTCAGAGGGGCCTGATGGGTGGGAAGGTAGGTCCACCATCCCCAGCCAGACCCTCACCAGTGCCGATGAAGAGGACCCAGGAAGAGATGAGGGGCATGACTGCCGGACCTCACATTACCAACCCCAACAGATGACTCGCTTGGCTCTGACCCCTGGGCCACCCCCCCCTTTCCTGTTCTGCAAGGCAGTTGGATGGTTGCCCCTACCAACCATTTCCCAGTGAGATGGTCATAAACTGGCCTCAGAAGGAAACAAAAGAGAAAAGGTAGTACTCTACCTTTGTACTCAAGAGTGGCTTGGAGCTAGGTGCTCTGGACAGCCCCCTACCCCCAAGTCCTGTCTCCTCAGTTTCTGGTCAACTTCTGAAGGGTCCCCTTATACTTGGTAAAATAAAATGAACCCCGAAACCCCGCCTGGGGCATCTCCCTCCACCCACCCTCCCCTTTAACCTCTCCTGGTCTACTTTTGTCTCCATCTTGCCTGCCCTGTGGGACCCTCCACGGGCCCACCACGGGGCCAGCCTGACACAGCTGCTCCTCCACCATTTCTGTTCAGCAGCAGCTCTTGTGTCCCCACCACATCGGACCCTTCGGGCTCTCTTTCCTCCAAATCCTTCTTACTCTTTTCCCTTCCAT